GGCTGTTGTTAAAGGTACCTACTCACTTTTCATAAAACGATTTTTATAGTATGGTCAAAGATAATGGTATAGTCAAATTCAATACCTTTACCTATCAAAATGTCTTATCGATGAATTCTGTGAGATACAGACTTGTGACATCATTATGTTTTTGCGTCAAATAGCATATTCATTAACAAAAACATTTGCTATAAAAATTCGAATCTTTAAATAAATCAATGAAATATGGTTAGTTTCGAATATTGTATTAAGGAGTTAAAATAATTTATTTTAGAAGATTTACAATTAATAATAGTTGCTATTGTGAGACATACAACATTTATTGAAAATACTTACGACTTACTCACGTGTATTAGCTGAGAAAACTCTACTAGTTTCAAGTATCATCGGGACTCTTATTCGATTCGACGCTTATTCGACTTATACCTACCAAGTGTTTATTGCGAACTGACTTTAACATTGGTGTAGACTTACTTATATGTGATCGACCTGTAGTACAATTTTTTGATATACGGGTCATATCCAATTGTAGTCTTTAGGTACTAGTTACTTCCGTCATCTACCCCGGTCACCGGGGCGTGTGGAATCGGCGAGTGGTGTCGCGCGGTGTCCCACAGGGTTCGGTCCTGGGACCTCTCCTGTGGAACATCGGGTACGATGGGTGCATCGCAGCTCCCGAGCGGCGTCAGCATTGTCTGTTAGGTATGCTGACGACACTGAGCGTGGGCCATTTCGCGTGCTTGGACGCATATTTTTCTCCTACCCTCTAGTTTTGTGATATTGTTTTACCATGCTTAATGTATTATTATTTTTAACTTTATTTTATTATCTTGTTCGTTTTGTGTCTTTTATGCGTCTCAGACGCGAATAAATACTGTTTCGTTCTTTCTTTCTTTCATATACATAATTTATGAGGGGCGGATCGCTAGTAAAATATAACTTTTGTTATCGGTTATATAACCCGTTATACTAATTATTATCCGTGGTATTTTTATGTTAGATATAAGAACATATCGCAAAATGCCAATAAAACGTTAAAAACCCCCTTTAATTGGGAATAAGGGTGCACTTTCACCACAAATCTGCTACCGATGATCTGGTAAAGCCATGGATTTATGGTGGATGTAATAGAGAGCGCCACCTCCGCAATTAGCTGCCAAAGGGTGTTTGTTTGTGGGGTTGTAGGGTGACCATGATGTTGAAAGTAATAGGATTTTTTTTAACATACTGAAAATGAGAAACCCCTTTTTAGTATAGTATGTATCATTATTATACAGGCAAGAAAGTGATGGTGGATGAGGTGAAATGTTTTCTCAGTCGATATTTTTAAAGTATGTTAATTATTACACAGTCAATATTACTTTACTTTAATATTACATAGAGACTTTGCTATCTTTGTTCCTTGATACTAGATTCAGCTTCTAAGCTTCCTACAAAATGAAATAAGAGCATATTTTTCTACATGCCATTAATTAATAACTAAATTATATACCTATCTTTATATTTTAAGAAAGATCGAATGTAAAACATCTATACCAGTCCTTATTTATATAGAATAACTTACCGTATGGTTACCCTAACGCCAGTAGCATCACCCAAGGCTGCCCCCCGCCGTGATCTCGGTTCTAATCGCCCTCGGCCGATACATAAACTGTGATTATTGTTTTTTTATTGTACTTGAATAAAATATTAATTGCCGATAACTTATAAGCGTTTGCACTATCTCGCATCGATAACTTTTAAATGCTCTTTCAATGATTCGATTTGGTTTGCTTTATGACTTGTCTAGGGGTGAAGTAAAGCTAGTATTTTTCGATGTCTTAAGCTTTTAACCTTTATTTTTGATTTGTGATTGCTTTCAGGTGTGATTTACAAGATTTAGTGTTATTTTTATTTAGTATTCGCAACCGCAAGTTTCTAACTTGTCAAATGCTTTACTTTAACGTAAAATACGATATTTTTTTAATAGAAAGTTTTTGGAATTCATTCAATTTTATCGATATTTGTTCTTGTTTTCTTAACCTTTTCTGGACTCTAAACAATATATCAAGACCTCAAATAAAAATTTCGATCCAGTCGTTTCAGTGTTTAATGAGAGTAATGGCTGATTTAAAATAAAACTAAAAATTCTTCCGTACTTGCCTGTTTGCTGACCTCTACCTTTTTTTGGAAATAAATATGATAAAATATCAGTTTGTACAGTAATTGCTTTATTTCGCTACTAGCTCATCCCCACGGTTCCACTTATGTGTGCCTTATGTTTTCAAAATAGCCTATGATCTCCAGAGGTAGTGTAATTCCCCAAAAGTGAATGAATTCTTAAAATCGGTCAAGAAGTTTCGGAACCTATTCAATACAAACTAACAAACAATCAAATCTTTCTTCTTTATTATCATCAACCAATCCATCGTAGCTACTTAATAGGAATACGACCGCTTTCCCCCCAAAACCTATTTTTGATAGTGGAGAATTTCTGAATGCTATTTTTTTTATAAAATTGCCTACAATTATTTTAAACAAAAATGAAATAAAGTAATAAATAGCTATATGAACTAGCGACCACCCCGGCTTTACACGATGGAATGCTGGTTCTACTCCAATGGATGTTTTTATACATTTAAACCTCTTCAATCACTCTAAATATTATACAAAAAGTTAATCAAAAATTAAGAAAATGTATGTTGCGTGGCTTCTAAGATTTATGTGTCTTATATGCGAAAGTAAAGATGTTTGGATGTTTGTTACTTAATCACGCCAAAACTGCTGGACGGATCTGGATGAAATTTGACGCAGGCATGGGATACACTCCGGAATAGGATATACTTTTTATCAACAAACCACGCGGGTCGAGCCGCGAGCTGAAGCTAGTAGGGATATAAGGACAGAGGGAGCTACTTTGTTTTATACTATTTACTTGTGATTAGGTATATTGAAACGGTCTTATAAATTAACAACTAGACAACAACGATGGAAATATCTTTTGCTTAAGATCAGTAGCCCGGCGTCAAAAACGTACATACCTACTTGAAAAAGTAGTTTGGTAAACACTATATGAAAACATCACTATTTTCCTTCAAAAGTACAATTTTCATTCTCCCTTCGAAACTACCGAAGCCGCCATGTGGCCCCTTACTGTTATTGTTCACACTTGAGTGTTTATTCGACGATAATTGAGTATGTACCGTGTTTAATCCCGCGCCCCTCTGTTTAAAGAAATAATCGCGTGACTGACTTTTTGAGTGGCGCACACATGGCTATTGATTTTAATCTTATTTTAAATAAAATTATTTTAAAAGTTAATATGGTGTGAGATTTGATATTTATTTTAAAATGTTTGTGTTAAAAAAAATAATCGAACACGATATTTTTCTTGTTTTCTTTTATATTTTCCCTTTTACTAACTTGTTTCTTCAACAACTTGCATTTTTTTGAAGATTGACGTGAAAATTGCTTTTTTTCTCGGCGGCCTCGGCTCAAAACAGGAGAAGGAACAGGGAGGTTTTTAGTCAGTAAGAGTCTGATACTCTCTCGCCTTACCCAGGGCGGGAGAAGATATTTGATGATTTTTCCCTTAAAAAACCCTAATTACACATAAACAATATATTCTTTGTTTAATCGTTTTTATGAGTCGATGCCAAGTCCTACTTAATAATATTTGGTTGAATGATTATATATCTAATTTAGAGCGTATTACTGATTTTTTTTTTTATTATATTAGTACTTACCCAACTAAAATGATTCCAATGATCATGAGAGAAGGTTTGAGCAACAATCAACACGGTTGCTCAAAGCGATTTGGGCGATTTCAAACATTCAATTAGAAATGTACAGTCTAGGGTTTTTCACGATATTTTCCTTCATTGTATGTCAGATGTTGCCTAAAAAACTAAAAATAACCAATTTTATATGCAGCTCTCATATTTAATATTAGTTTTAATATTTGATTATTTCACATGAACCTAATTCGATAGTTACGAAACTGCTTGTCGATTAGATAGATGTCGACAGTCAGACAGACAGACAGTAGACAAATGTAATGAAACAAAAACATTAATTCTGATGTATCATTTATTATTAGTATCATATAAAAAATCAAACATTCCTTGAATACAACTAAAAACTTCAGGAAACTTACAAAACTTAAATTTCAACAATAACACAATATCAACAATAATTCGTTTTAATTACCTAACACAGATGAAAACATTAATTATTTTTTATTTAAGTTTCCTAATACCAACTACTGCGGTGGGAGGATTATAATATAAGTATACAACTAAAAATACAAATAGAAAACATATTTTTTTACATTTCTCGCCGCTTTTAAACTTTATTTTGTAAAAAATTATAGTGCTGCGCCTAATCCACAGAATTCGGTTTCGGCTTTGATAGAAAAAGGCCGAAACTTTTAATGAACTAGATAAACAATAATATTTATTTCAATTTAATTATCTTTTGTATTAAGTCAATCTGTTTTGGCAGTTTAATAGAAAATGTCTCGACTAATCTTCTACAAAATAACGTTCAATTCAGCTTTTATTAGGGCGCCATCTATAATTTACCTTTGTCATATACCGCTCTCCAATTACTTAAGTATAAAGTAAGAATAAATATAACTTAAAAGATATTATCAAAACATTTTGTAAATTAAGGTAAGGTAGGGCAATCGAAAATATAAACACGTGACTTACTTAATAGATCTTAAAAGTAGCATAAAAAAGGAATAGAAAAAATTACAACAGATAAAATTCAACATACAGATTTGATTACTAATCATAATAGTCTCATTGTAATTACTTATAGTATTAAGTACATACGCTGCAGTTTTAAAAACAAAACAATCACTTATAATGATTATACATACATATTAGTTATTTACAAGTGCTATTTACAAAAACTCAAAGTATAATTAACATTATTCACTCCAGTATCAATATGATATCGAAATCGATAAAAATATTGAGAAAATAGTGTCAATTACCTCCTTTTCGGGTCCTTCTCTTCTTCTTACAATGTAAGTTTTTTGATTACATTTTACGATATTGCACTACAAGTTATTAGTGATTAAATACATTAAATGCATTAAAGTTGAGCTACATTTGTTCGGATACCACGAAGGCTATTAAATACAGAAACTAATTCAACAAAAACAATAGTATTGAAGTGTTTAAGAATTGTATACACGTTTTAAAATAGTCTTTTTTTACAAAATTGACATTAATTTACCTAACTAACGTCTATTTATTACACAGTTGAAGAGTAAATTCTATGATATGTTATCTATTCAAAGTGCTCCTTACAAGAAAGTAACTAAAAGGTACATTGCACATTAACAGTAACATTGATTGCACGTTTGAAGTCCATTCTTGATAAAAAACATGTCACAAACAGCACCATTTTATTTAATGCCATGCAACAACAAACACTATTCCAACGGAAACCGAAACCGAAACAATTTGTGGCCGAAACAAGTAAATCTGTCAAATGTCTCCTCACTATTACACATGTTCAAGTATCAATGTCCTTCCATTCAGTCTTACACACTATCTGGTGAGCTGGTCTCGCGCTCCTGCACGGAGGTGGAAGGTCGCTCCCAATGTGAGGGCCAGGCCCTCGCAGGGAGCGCGACCGGCCTTCAGATGACGTGCTGAGGAGGTTCCTCGTCACTCTTCATGAGAACGTAGGCGACGGGACGCTTCACGTCGGCAGGAGGAGGGGAGGGCGTTCGTCGTGGTGGACAACCGCAAGGGGAGAGTGCGCTGTTGTAAAGGGCACTGCTGTATAGCGCTCCGCCGTATAGTGCCTGAGAAAGAAATAAATGTTTTGAAAATTGTACGGTAAAATGAACAGGATAGGACTGTTGATAAACCATTTACAAGTTAAATAATTTACAGAAACTTTTAACTTAAAGAAAATTTCGGAAGCATGTTTTTTATGATTTAAATCCTACAACTAACTGGAAGTTACGACTGACTGTTGCGATCACTTGATAAACCAAAACAAATAGAAGCTAAATAGTTTACAGATGGGAGGAGCGAGATAATCTCGGAAACCTTTATTATCTGTTATGGTTTTTAATGAATATTTTTAAATCAATACCTTATTGAAGATTACCTGCAAATGCGCCAACTCGGCTGCCAGTTTGCCATCGTCGGAAGGTATTTTCGCAAATGGATAGAATGGGTAAGGCAGTGGAGGGAACAGTGCTCGACTCAGCTCTGGCTTATCCGGTAGTAGGTGATGTGGCATAGAATGTAGCTGTGGATGCACCGGGTGTGGCACTGATGGTGTCACTAGCCGCGGTACTGGTGCCATTAGACCGTTGATGCCGAAACCGAATTTTGGCTCCTTTTTCACGAGCGGTTTCGGCTTTCGTCGTGGTCGATATTTGTAGTCGGGGTGTTCTTTCATGTGCAGTGCCCTAAGGAAAATAAAAAAAATAATAAATAATTGTTCAAACATAGTAAGGAAGGCAGTTGTCATAGTTCATATGGAGTTATTAATAGATTTTGCAACATGAATGTCTTCAGCCTCTCTGTAATGTCAAAATATATTTTTGTTATTCTTTTATCTACTCAGTTGCCTTGATACTGCGCACGATTTCTGAATAAACTTTACGACCACATCGTTCGCGCCACGATTGTTAGCTCTCACGTCGGCCCTCAACAAAACATCAACACTCTGAGTATTATCAGCAAAAACAAACGCGGAAGATATCCGATACTCTGAAATCGAAAGCATAACTCAATTCGCCCCACAATACTATAAGTTTAGCGTCAAAATGCCACAATGAAACGCCGCTGGGCGATATAACATTATTATTTATGCAATAAAGCGTGCAATTGTCGCGAACGCCTGGCCGCCCTTAAAACAACAATGTCGATTCAACAATGCGCGGATTATTGCATTGTCCCAGTCACAATCGGCTATCTGTGTATACCACTGCACTATGTGCATTCCAAATGTAAGCAGAATTGAATTGTATTGTTATGGAATAGAGCTGAATTCGGGATGCGGGTGTGTGTGTTTACGTCGTGTAGTGTTGGGAATGAGTCGACACAGCGTCCGATTATGCGAGCTTTGTGATAGAATCGCGATTGTCAGCGAGTCGATTGTAATTATTCGAGTGGACCACGCTGGCGGATGATAGTTCGTCAATGCGCTGAGGTTTGAATGCGAATGTTTGTTGAGTCTGATTGTGTAGCGGATTTAGATTTATTTTTTCATTTAATTTTGTTATAAATACCTAGCTTCACAATTACCTACCAGCTGGATTTGAACAAACTTTTGTATTTTCATTGCATTAATCGAGGGCTTTTGTCAGAGAAATTAACTGAACAATTCATGTTATTACATGGTATTGAATGGTCATTATATTCATGTTCCAAAATCAATGTAAGTATATATTGTTATGGTGGCTTTAACATTGAGTGGTAAATAATGTAAGTACTAATTAAGTTGTCATTTTACATGTTGTACTACTATTAAATTAAGATTTTATGTGTATATGACTTGGTTGACGGATAAAATCGTATTCTGGCAGCAATTTATTATTACTATCTAAAGTTAAAAAAAAGTGCTTTAAAGTTATTACAAAATCAAAGATATTGAATTAGATTGTAGATTAGTTTATGAAATCCATATCAATGACATAACAAACTGACATAAACCATCATTTTAACCTATCACAAAATTTTCCATACTCAAGTAGCCTTCCATTCACACCGAATACTTTTATCAGGATTGACAGAAACTGTCCTATCTTCGAAACGAAAAAAACTGAGGTCAACGCACCTAGCACTATCACTTCTTTCATTACAGTTTGTTAACCAAATAAACATGATATCACTAAGGAAAATATTACAATATCTTTTGGTCAAGAAAAAAAAAATAGTTATCGATATTTTTTATCGGACACGTTTTTGGCGTATTTTTTCTATAGAACTAATCGAATTCGGTAAATATCGATATATTTATACACGATTCTAGATATCAACGATCGCATTATGTGTATATTGAATTTGGAACGTCAATAAGAAGTTATTGGGTTTTTTATTAATGCCTTTTTCGTGTAGATACTGCTGCGTTTTGTGTTACAATAAATTCTTACAGTGTAAGTATTAATGTTTTTCTTGAATTATTGGTCAGTTTACGAAGGGGGTTGATGTTTGCTCAATGTACATGATTGGTACCTGCTACTCAATAGGTTTTTGGGGACATTTTTACTATTGTAAATTAGGAAAATGTTTATTAAAATTATGATTCACTGATGGCGTAGACGAAGAGTGTATAGACATTTTTAGCAATTGGTTAAGAATTTATGTTCTCAAACACCAGTACGATTTTGGTTTAGGCGACTTGTTTTAAAAATAAATGAAAACTATTAAAAAATAATTAAGGTTAATCCTTCAATGGCGTTGAGCAGCATTGTCAATATATTAAATACAAGATGATCTAGGGAACCGCAGTTTTGTTCCTTGTTAAATATCAAGATAATGTCACTTACAGAACAGTTTATATGGGTAATAAATAATATTTGTTTTATTTTTGCAGTTTATGCATGTTTTCTTGCTTTTCAAAGCATATCTGGACTACTACTACCCAAGGCAGTTTGACTGTTAACTTAAATAGAATATAAAAGTTTCTTTGAATCTTCTATTTTCTAGGGATTTTTGCCCATCAAAAGTCAAAGTCAGAGTTAAAAACATTCATTTCAACTATAAAATATATTTAAAGCGTCAAAACATAGAATAGTAGTATCACCACCTTATATGTAGATTAAGTTAAATGCCTTGATCAAGTAAGTAATTGACAAGGAACTATAGTATATAGTTTCAAGACACGCTGGGAACTCATATTTAATGAAAAGCATTGCACGGATTACGAAGCAACGAATACTGCGAAGCTGACAATAAAAAATGACGTGACTAAGTCATTAAACTAATAATTGAATAAGTTAAAACACGAAAACCATACAAGTTTAAACAAAAGAATAAAAACAAAAATGAAACATATTTTATAATTAACATTAAAAAATCTCAATAAATAACCTCAAAAGTATTAAACAACCTTTACAATACAAAGTTATATTGACCCAAGTATCCAAGTTTGTATTAAAACCGAGGCCACGATGGTGTCTTCATGTCTTCCCATCGTTATCGGTCACTACAATGGTGTGCCGCGCCTCTGTTTGCAGCCATACTGACATTTATCATATTATATATTTGATCGCACTACACAATCAGAGGATTCAATAACCGTCACTAAATAACATCCGATAGCTTAGAATGTATTGAGAAATCTTTATGTTTCAGTTGTTTTTTGTAACTTATTTTTCTAACGGCTAAGTATTCTCGATAAGTAGGCTATGAGTTAGTCTTGACTATAATCTATGTTTATATTTCTCTCTATATACGAATAGTTGCATATTGCGTACGTTTTTTGACAATTCTCTCAAGTATCTACGGAGTCGACTTCTTTGATAAATATTTCATTGGTGGCTTAACATCATCATTATCAACATCAGCCTATAAGTGCCCACTGCTGAGCAAAGGCCTCTTCTCACACGGAGATGGTTAGAGCATTAATCAACACGCTTGCTCAATGCGGGTTGGTGATTTCAAACTTATAATTAGAAATTATAAGTCCAGGTTTCCTCACGATGTTTACCTTCACCGTATGTCAATGGTGTTTGAATAATCATAGAAAGTACTACACGGAAAAAGTCACATTGGTACTTGCCAGGTTTCGAACCCACACCCTCATGCATGAGAAGCGGGCTCCTTAACCTCCGGGCCACCACGACTGGACTGGCTTAACATAATTATTTGAATATCTTTATCATCATCACTGAAAATACGTCCAGTGACTTCCATATAAACCAACCGCGCATCAAAGAGCCAATACACCACCACAGACGGGACTCTACAAGGCCGATTTTTAGTCGGGCTTGCGGGAGCAAGCCCTCACTCTAGGCGGGAGAAGTCATTTGATGATGTTCCCTTGACAATAAGAAAATAAAAGAAAGCCTCGGCATAGATCAGGAGAAGCAATGGCCTCACCATGAGCGACAGAAAGTTATTTGATGTTTTTCCTTACACAAAAAAAGCCGACTCGAAACGACCTGCATTCATTTCGTCCCAGGAGGACCAGCTGGACCCTTCTTATTCGCCTTTTCACTACATATTTATTTACTTGCATAAAATCTTTATCCGTAAATATCATAATATTTTAAGGAAAGTTACGCCGATAATGGCTCAAGAACAGATCAACAAATTATCAAGATCTTTGATTTGTAGGTAGTTGTGATTTGTATTTAATCATATCTTCTTCTAAAATTCTCGTGTCACAGTTTTCGCTGCCGTTCCGAAACGGCTAGACCGATTTTGATGATTTTTTTGTGTTTATCCGGTATCTATGAGTATCAACATCTATTTTTCACCCCTAAATGTTAGGGGTAGTCCACCCATAAATTTTTTTGTTTATTGTTTAGACTAAATTTTTATTTTCTTTTTTTTATGATACATCATACAAAAATACACACAATCCTCAATTTTCACCCTTCTACAATCAACCCTTATTTTTTAATAGCCAAAAATGGGTCAGCATGTAAAGTTTTTAAAATAGCCTATTATAATAGTCTCACTTGCCATGTTTAGTATCAAACTCCTTAATTGGCATTATACTTGATATTATTAAAAAAAGATTTGTACGCCCAATATCAGTGACAAACCTTATCCAATACATTTGAATTGAAAAATCAATCTTAATTCCAATAGGTTTAGTATTTGAGATCGGTTAATTCCGACCGTATTTCCATTGACAAAAGCTAGTTATGTAGGTAATTACACCAACCTAGGATAAAGGATAATAAAATAACATATAAAACCTGATGGTAACGCAAATATTTGATACACAAGTGGTACTTCTTGAATGACTAACATAAACTGTCTAAGTAGATATTATTTGTTACCGTTAATCGTGTCACGAAAATAATTTTATATTGCAGTCAGTTTTTTTATGTGATGTAAACGAGCTTACGAAAGCTACCCATGGATACTCAAAGTAGGTACCAAAGGAGTTACTACAAGTGCGTTGCCGGTCTCTTGTTGGTTATTAGGAATTTAAGGATTTTTCCGCTCGGTTCCCTATAATATGGTTGAGTTGGGCGGTGCTGGTGTACGTGTCATGTTCGTGAACGGACGCCGCCTATTGGGACTGGTCAACTCGAGACTGTCTAAAGTTGCTGTCCCTGAGGTTCGTTTCTTTTTCGGATCCTTTGGTTAAACACTAGTGTTACACTGTTCTCACATAATGGAGCTATCTAAATTATGTAACAATGCATTGTAAAAAGTGATTGAAAAAGAGTAACCATGGAGTTTCTTGCTCGTTCTTCTCCATAGGAATCTACACTTTGGAACG